CGACGTCAGGGATGTTTATCTGTCCTAGCTTCGGTCCCGTTCCCGAACGCTTTGAAGTTCTGGTTAGTTTCGAGTTTGAGTTTTGTTTCCTGGTAAAGTTCCGGGGAGCCCTGTTCTAGGCGATGATTGGTTTAAAGCGAATCCGTGCTAACTCCTTTTTCCGCCCGTGTCGATATCACCCTTGTTCTATCGAATATGTGTAGTGTTTATTCTTATCAGTGTGTATGCAGATTAGCACAGATGTGAAGTATTGCTTGCAGCTTTGCAATACGATTGCCATGTACTATCGCCGTTTGATGTTCAGGGGGCCCTGAGTCAGGTAAAAGGTTGCGTTACGTTTCATACGGCCGATAATCACGATTATCAATTTTTTTTCGAACAATCCCGAGTAGACTTCGTGTGCTACCATCGGTTGATAGGAAGGAGCGGCTGCGGGGGGAGGGGCAGGAGCCAATGCGCTCACGCAGCGGGGACCGCAGCGGGGCGCCCGGAGCGGCCAAGCCGGTGCTGAACCCCTGGCAGCGGGCACGGGGCGGCGTCGCGACCACACCCAGGGGCCTGGGCAGCGGCTGCAGCCCGAGAGGTCGAAGACCAGCAAGCGGGAAGGTGGGTGAGGGGGGCCGCGGCAGCGGAGCCAAGGAGCGTCCCGAGTGCAGGGCCAGCAAACACGGACACGGGGCGAAAAAGTGCAGGCAACCCGCACTGCAGGCATGGGCAGCCTTCCCAGGGATACCCTTGCATCCTTGCCTCCTCGGTCCATCCTTGGCCGCTTTCGTCGGCCGCGCCCCGCCCGAGAAGCTTCGACATGGGCGCCCAAGGCCCTTGCATCCTCATCGCGCATCCTCACGACACTGGCCGATTGTACCCCGGGGAAGCGGACGGGACATCAGGGGCCGCGCGGGTCGAAAGAACACAGCGGTCGGCGGATGTCAGGCCGACGGGGGCGCCTCCGAGCCCAGGGGCCCTTGGGCGTTCCCCGGGTTTCGCTTCCGGCCCAAAAGCCGACATGATCGCGCCTTTTTTTTATTCTTAAATATAAGTTTTAAAAAAGAATCAGGACAAACGGCTTTTGGCCGTTTTCGGCCTCGGGGGGCCTTCGCTGGGCCTCGGGGTCGTCAAAACACGGTTCAGGATGAAAAACCGGTCCCGGGGAAAGGGTCGGGACTTCCAGGGACTCCGTTTTGAAAAAATCAGGACGTCGCATGTCTGGGGTTGAGTCAAACTGCGGCCCCAGAGTTCCCGATCCCTTCCCTGGGGTTCATTTGGTTCATTTTGCGTCCTGGATCTATTTGGGATGGCCCCGGGGCTCATTGCAGACCCAGAAATGTATGCGACATGCCGATTTGTTCATGACGTCGACCCCGAGAGGTCTCGACCCATTCCCCTGAACCAGCTTGTCATCCTGCGTCCTGTTGTGGCGGCCCCGAAGCCTGGTAGGGGCCCTGGAGGCCGAAAGTACTGGGAAGCCTCCCGTAATGTTTTTTGCATCGCTCGAGGGGGGTCTGGATCTGCAGAAGGATTCCTTGCCGCGTCTTCCCGAGGGCTCCCCGAGGTTTTCCCGCGAGCTCCGGGAGGGCTTCCCATACCCAGATATCCGACGTCGTGATTTTTTGAATACGGGGTCCCCGGAAGTCTCGACCCAGCCCCAGTAAGGGCCCCTAGAGACCGAAAATTGAGAAAAACCTCCGTCATGATTTTCTCAATGCGTTGGATCTCTGGTCAGCTGCCCCCCGCCTGGCGAGAGGGTGCCTCGCCGTCTGCGCGCCCCGCTTCTGCGGGCTCTGCGAAGGGTCCTGCGGAAGCAGCACGGCGGCGGGCCCGCTGAGGCCAAGCCGGCGAAAGGCAGCAGAAGCCCAGAGCCCTATAGGTACTTGCGGCCTCCATGGCCTGCGCATCGCGTGGTGAAGTGCCCTGAGATCCTGGCGTTGCAATTTTTTCACAACGGGCGTTTTCGCTCGATTTCGGGCCCCGGGACCCTCACAGATCGATCCGGCTTGAAAAATGACGCAGAAAGATGAGGTCGGGGGCTCTGCGCGTGATTTTTTGCGATGCTGTACTTTTTTTTGCATTGTCGGGTCTCAGGGTGTGTCCCCTGTCCCCACTGCAGTGGGGGGAGAAACTGGCGCACACTGTAAAAACTCAAGTGCCTGCGGGAAGTTTCTCGCTCTTTTCGGGATCCGCGGGCCCTCACCGGGCCTCGGGACCGTCAAACCATGCTTAGACGGTCCCGAGGCCTGGTCCTGGGAAAGGGGTCCGGTCGACGTTGCGAAAAAAACGCGACGACGGTGATTTGGGGAAGTAGCGACACTTGGGGATCCAGAGCTTCCAGAACGGGCCGCTAGCACAGGCCCCGGCGTCATGATTTTTGCCACGGCGTCGGCCCCGGGAGGTGTCGGCCCATTCCCCGGCACCGGCTTTCCCTCCATGCGCGTGTTTCGGGTGTTGCTAGAAGTGCCCCTGGCCCAAAGTGCCCCCAGGATTTCCAAGGAGGCCCCCACGGCCTCAAGAGCACCCCTCACGAGGCCCAAAGGGCCCCAGGGGCTCCAAAATGGAGCGAAAAGCTGGGGCACCGTGGGCCAGGGGCACTCCTGGTCCTAGCAGCACCCGAGTTTTTTTTTGTCCACCGCCGCTAGGGCGCGGCGAGGGCCCCTGGAGGTCCAAAGCAGTGAATCGCCGAGCGCGTTCCGGTACTCTCAGAGTGCCTATTCGCAGACGTGAGAGTACATGCTACATGCGTACATACAGACATACATACATACATACATACATGCATGCATGCATGCATGCATACAGATAGACAGACCGACAGACAGACAGACAGACAGACAGACAGACAGACAGACAGACAGACAGACAGACAGACATGCATGTATGCATGCATGCATGCATGCATGCATACATACATACATACGTACATCGGCGCATGCACGCAAATTTGCACGCCGAATTTCTAGAAACAGAAGCAGTGAACTCCCGATTATACGTTCACGAAAAGACACATCTGTAAACATACACTTACACATGAACGTACCCCATGTGAGCACTTCCAGAAGCGATGGAAATACCTCAGCGTGGAGGTTGAGGGGGGAGAGCGAGCAACACAAAGTAATACAAATCAGCAGGAACGCCTGAGCACCGGAACCATTCAGAGTGCAAATTTGGGACCAAGAAGCCACAATTTCTTCCGAGTCCATGCAATTGGGGCTACGATGGCGATCCATTAGGCAGACAGCTGCACTTGACAGAAGACCCATCTTGAATCAAGTTCATGCCCCAATGGCGCCTTGCACTTGCACGCGGGGGGGGGGGGGGGCGCGGAAGTCCCGCAAGTCGAAAAGCATTTGCACGCTTTTTCGGCCCAGTACTGCGTGAATCAGAAGGGTCGGGGGGCGGGGGCAAACTGCCATGCAAGTAAACTTGCCTGAATCAAACAAAAAAAAACAGGCTCTCCCGCGGAAGTGGTCCAGAGCTCCGGGGTACATATCAAGGCGCCAGAGGTCTGGGGAGCGCTGCGGAGCGCTCCTGAGCGGCCGCGGCGCACGATGCATCCTCCAGAGCCGCGGGATCTCAGACATCCCCGACCTGTCCCCGTCCGATGTTGCCCCCGTCATGGCCCCCGCCAGTGCAGACCCATGCCAAGAGACATCCTGCTTGCCTCCAGGGTGCCCTGGGTGTCTTGGGTTTCGATGGTGTTGCTGTGGGAAGCGCGAGGGTCCCACACCAGAAGTCAACGGAAGTTCTGGAGTCTCAGGGGTGGGTTTCTCGTGGAAGGTTTCTTGTGGACAGGCCTTCACTGGAAGTCTTCCAGATGGGGTCACAGTAGATGGGGTCGGAGAATCGCGCCGCATGAACGACGCATCGGCGATGCGGCTCGACGTGGAGGAGGAGGAGGAGGAGGAGGAGGAGGAGGAGGAGGAGGAGGAGGAGGAGGAGGAGGAGGAGGAGGAGGGCGCGCCGCCCGCCGCTTCCTGGGGCCCTCTCTTTGCATCCCGAGTCGCCTTCGCTGACGGCTGGAGGAGGGCGCGCCGCCCGCCGTTTCCTGGGGCGCGCCGCCCGCCGTTTCCTGGGGCCCGCTCTTTGCATCCCGAGGCGCCTTCGCTGACGGCTGGAGGAGGGCTCGCCGCCCGCCGTTTCCTGGGGCCCTCTCTTTGCATCCCGAGGCGCCTTCGCTGACGGCCGGCCCTGCGGGGGCCGCGGGAGCTCGGCGGCCAGCCTGAGGGGGAGGTGAGAAGCTCGGCACCTTTCGGACGTGTGCGCCTTTTCTCGGCGAGGGCCCCCGAGGAGCAGCCTGGATCCTCCTGCGAGAACACAGGCGCACTAGGCGGACGTCCGAGCGATGGCAGGGAGGGGGGAGTGCGAAGGGGCGGACACCTTCTCAGAAGGCTCGGAAGCCCCCCGGCCTTCTGAGGAGATTCGTGGGCCTTCCCCGCAGGCGCAGAGAACTTTCCAGAAGGCCCGAGGGCTTCTGGGGAGCCTCGCCGCCCTCTGAGAAGGCCTTCTCCTCCTCGCTTCCCCCCCTTTCGCTCGCTCGCCGCCGAAGAGAGGCCGAAGAGCGTGCAAAGCTTGCGCGTGGTGGTTCTCCTGTTCGGGCCGCCCAGCTGGAGCAGCGCGACCCGAGCGGCTTGCAGGGGCCTCGGGCGCGGTGGAACCACGCTGATTTTTGCCCAGCTGCGCCGCCTACACACGTGGCAATCTGGGCCCCCGCGGGGCCGTCACGGTTCCGGGACGGAAAGCCTTATCCTTGTGCAATCAAGGGAGGGAAAGCCACCCGGATTGGACAGTTGGCGTTTACTACACGGCCCTGGGCATTTATTAAGAGCCCTGCCCTGTTCGATTCCATCTCTGGGTGCGTTTACGAAGCGGCCTCGCTCGTCGGGGTGGTTGTTCTGGGGGTGGATGTTTTGCCCTCGATGCAAGTTGTCGAGACCTCTCGGGCCCGCGGGTTGAGCAGAAACAGTTCATCGAATGTCTGGGGCCCTGCCCCCCCCCCTTCGCCTGAGTGCCCCGATCCGCTGCTGGGCTGGCGGGCCCTACCACCGAGCCGTTGGCCTCACGTCGCAGCGCATGACGCAGGTGCCCTCGGGCCAGCACCTGGCCGACTCGCACTGCTTCCTCTTCGACTACCAGGGCTTCAAGGATCGGGGGAGCGTAGGACTCGAGGAGGCCGGAACTCGGCGTCGCCTTTCTGCTTTTCGACGAGCGCGTCCTGGAGTTTGAAGGTCCGGTTTTCGTGGGGGATGTTTGCAGCGGGAGCCCGCGTCAAGTTTCAGATTGGGCCTCGCCATTTTGATGACGGCCCCCGTCAGGCCAACCCGAGTCTCCCGTGCCCGAGTCTTACGTCTCCCTGGAAGGAGGGCGACCCTGACCCACACGGCTGTGGTTTCTTCCGCCGCTCCTTTCAACCGCTGCAACAGCTCCGCCGCTGCGTCGTCGAGAAATTGGAGGCGGACCCTGACTGGCGGGCCTACAACGCAACGGCAAGCCGCATCTTCGCCGCGCGCCGCGACGGTAGTCGAAAGGTTGACAACCCAGCGGTCGTAGACGAGGAGGAGCGCGTCATGGCAGAGGCCAGCATCAATGTGGCGCTCGACAGTATCCGCCGTGCCGACGAGATCATCAAGTCTGTTAGCTTCAAGCCGTGGGAGGCCATGACAACAGGCGAGGCCGCCAAGGTGGTAGAGGCAAAGATCTCCAAGACGATTATCACCACTAGCACGACGACGGTGCTCAAGCAGGAGACGGTTCAGAGCATACGGACAGAGTGTTTCCTCGTGGCTGGAGAGGCCACGGCTGCGCTGCCCGAGAGGACGGCCACGTTGAAGCGCGCTCTGCCTTGCTACCAGCTCATGTGGGACCAGATCGAGGTCGCAGGAGCACCTGAGCAGCCCATGTCAAACGCCGTTACGATGTGGGACAAGTCGCTCATCGACCTTGGGCACGTGGAGAAGGATTACGATACGCCGCCGGTCTGCGCCAGAGCCGCAGTGGCACTCGTGGCCGAAAAGCAGAAGCGGGCCCCTGGGGGATACAGCGCGGCCAATTGCCTCACCAGCGCACCACGCTGGAAGGACTGCACGGCCCCGACATCTTTCAACTGCATATGTTTCCAGTACTGCTGGCGCCGAGCCCTCGAGCGCATGTGCGAGATCGAGCCCGCCTGCTGCTGGACGGCGGACCAGGCGGAGAAAGCAAGAGCCCTGCCGCGCGACTGGCTTTTCGGATAGAGCGGCAGGGGTCCTCCCTATCTGGGGTCGGATTCGGTGGAGCCAACAAGTCGGCATCTGCAGCGTCTCAGGTTGGATCTGCGGGCCAGCTGCTGGCCGACGCAGCGTCCGTTGTTTCGTTGACTCCTGCAGCAAAAGTAACCTCCCCCTGCTCCATCCACAGGTAGGGGCTTGGGCCCCGAGTTCCAGCACGGAAGCCGTGTGCTGACGTGCAGAAGCAAGCCATCTGTCCCTGCTTTCGACCAGGACACGCGCAGCCACAAAGATAGCTCCCGCCCCTCCCTCTCCTTCCTCCTCCTCCTCCTCCTCCTCCCTCCCTTCCTCCGCCACGCTCCACCTCCTCCCTCCCTTCCTCTTGCCCGTCCTCCGCCCTTCCTTTCCTCATCCTCCTCATCCCCCTCTTCCTCCTGCCCGTGCCCAACCTTGTCCTTGTTTCTCCTCCTGGTCTTCCCCGCCTTTCCCCTGGCTGTGTCCCTTCTCGTCAGCCCCTTCTTTCTCGCAGCGCGACGTCAAGACCTCCAGGCTCTCCTTACGCAGGACAAAAGATTTTCCTCTTGAGGTGCAAATGGCGATGATGAGTTGGACGTTAATGACCGAACCCCCCTCCCCCCGTGGAATCTTAACACGGGCGGGTTCCGGGGTCCGCGGATCCGATTTCCTCCAGCCCCCTGTTTGATTTCAATATGATAAATTTAAAACGGGGTAAACATCGGACCCGCCGTAAAAAATAAGACCGAACACGGATCCAGCAAATCCGAAATCGGATCCGCGCGGACGGATATCGGATCCACCGAAACAAACACCAAAGCCACATATGGATCCGCGCGAATTTCATGGGATCCGACGGCGGTTATCTCACGCGCGCCTGCTCAAGACTTCAAGCCGTCGTTCTGGGCCCAAAAGGAAAAGACTTTCATCCTGGGGATGTCTGCGACGGACCCTGCATGTCGTTCAGACTGGCCAACCTGGCCCCGACGTCGGGGAAAATTGATCCCCCTCCCCCCGCCCTCGCGCAAATTGAAGGTTCAGCCGCCGACCCTTCCCTTGGGTCTCGATCGGGGCCGAGCCCTTTGGGCTCCGTGCTGTCAGTGCCCGTGGCCCTCGTGCGGCTCCTCGCGAGCGCACACCTGCGCTCCGGACTCGTCTTGGCTCCCCGCGCCAGCCCTTGCCCGCGGCGGACGTAGCGACCGCATGGTGCCTGCAGCAACCGGCCGGTGTCCACCTAAGGGCAAGCGGCACGGCGAACGCTTTACGCGTTCGAAGATGGAGCAGCTTTGATTCAAGTGGGAAGCGAGCGCGGTTCGAACTGAGTACACGTTGAGCCATATGGTGACAGCATGTGGGTCACACTTGCGAGCCGGGCGTCGTGACCCAAAAACAAGCCGACTGTAGATCCGACGCGATGCAAGTGTGATTGAAATGCGGCCAATCTGCGATCCGAATGAACATAGGATAGGGGAGGCATTGGGGGCAATTGCAAAATCAACACGCGTCGAATGCGCATATAATGCGATCAAATCGCTAACCAGTTTTGCTGCACATGTTGGCCTCATTCCCATCCACAATCTCCTGATTCGTCACGAACTGGTCGCAGAGGCAGGATGTGAACTTACGGCAAGGAAGCCACCTCGCAATCCCGGGGAGTCCATGGACGAGCTACTGTTGCAAAATATCTAGCAGGGCTCAAGCCCATACGGTGGGGGCACTGGTTAAGGAATGAGTTGGGGTGACTTCAGACCCTGGAGGATTCCTTAGCTGATGAGGGCGGTGGCGATGCCCCTGGCGGGAGTTCCACTGGCTTCCAGACCCCGGATTCCTTATACAAGGCTTCCTTATTCAATGCCTCCGCCGTACTCTGAGAGGCGGAGCCTTGTAGCCCACTAGGAACTTCGGGGACAAGACAGTGCTAACCTATGACGGTGCAGATACGTATATGCAGATCCTTCTGCGCAGTGCGGCCCCGTGGGGGGCAAGGAAAGCTCGCGCCGTGGCGCGGGGAACCAGCCCGCGCTCCTGATTGCAGCAACGTGCTTAAACGGTGCCTTCAGTTGCTTAACCGCGCCCTTGCAAATCACGACAAGAAGGAGATCGCTCGACCGCGCTAACATGCGACGAGGCGGGGGAAGTGGTCGAGGAGGGGGGGGAGGAGGAGCTTCCCACGCCCCCAACGAGCCCAACGAGGCGCACGCAGTCTAGTCCGAGCAGCGGGTCGATCCAGCAAAATTCGAGGGCACCGTCGTGCCCTGTCCATTGCGTTTCGTGCCCTTTTCCGTGCTTGGAGCACGGGCTGCGCTCGTAGAAGAGATGCCGTGCCCTCTCAGGTGCCCTCTGCAGTCAGTCCCGACTCCGAGGAACAAGAGCCGGCACAAACAAAAACTCTCGCAGCCCCGTGCGGATTGGGACAAAGCATTGGATTGGTGTGGTGCCGTCCTGGCGGCGCCTCTGGCGCCGCCCCTGGCGCGCCTCCGCGCGCCAGGCAGGGGGGACCCAGGATCGTAACAACAATTTCGTCGCACAAAGTGGCGACGGACGTTTCTTTTCTTATATCATATATGTATACAAATATGATTTTCGGCTTCAGGGGGCCCTCACCAGGCCTCAGGACCGTCAAAAAACGGCACATGATGAAACGCCGGTCCCCAGAAAGGGGTTCAGACCCCTGGGGGTTTGTGTCACGATTGAATCACGACGTGGAGCTCCCGACGTTTATGTGTAATTACGTGGGTTCTTCCCCTAGAGAGAGGCTCGTGCCCTATTTGCTGTCTGTGCAATCGGCCCCGACCACAGGACACCCACAGGGGCGCGATGGTACTCGCGCCGCCTGCCTCGCGGCCTGGGGGTGCTTCTCCTCAGGGTCGGCGATGCGATGGCACAGGCACAACCACGCGCCGCGCACCTCATAAAGACAGTTATCGGGTCGGGGTGATCGGGCGAGCGTGCTGAAGGTGTTTATCACACATTCGTACCCTGTATCTTCCCAACTCCTTCCTCCACACGAGAATTCTCCTTCTCAAGAACCCAGACCCTAGACGTCATGATTTTTGCCTTGAACGTCGAGCCCCGGGGGTCTGGACCCCTTCCCCGGGACCAGTGCTTCATCCCGAGTCGTGTTTTGACGGCCCCGAGGCCCGGAAAGAGCCCTTCGAGGCCGATTGCGAAGAGTTTCCCGTCGCGTTTTTCTCATATAACTCGAGTGATGATGTTCCAACTTACTTTAGCCTTGACCACCAGAAATAATCTCGAGCACCAAGAAAGTACCGAAACTGGAGGATTTTCACGTGTCGGGCCCTGGGAGACACTCGTTCGACACTGTTTCGACACTGTTTCGACACTGTTTCGACACTCGCTCGACACGTTTCCGGGTGCTCGAAAGTCTTGCTGGGCGGCGGTCCTCTAGCACGATGGGAGCAGCTCATGTGTGTGTCCCAGGGCCCCTTCAGAATATCATACCCCCCTCCCCGTCCACGGCTCGGGGGACCACAGGTGTGTCCAGGGCGGCCTCGGGGCCCTTCCTCGTGCCATCTCATTTCCCCTCATCACGTCATCTCATCTCCCCTCGTCGTCCTCCCCCTCCCATCCTCATCCTTCCCCTCGGCCTCGGGCCCAGTCCCCGTCGCGTCGCAAGACGTGGCGGCGGGCGCGGAAGGCTGGCGGAAGCCCGCGGGAGCGCAGTGCCGGCGGGCCCCGCTGGTGGAGGGGCGGCACGACGGGCGGCGGAGGCGTCGTTCTCGAAGAGCTCGCGCCCTCTCTGACGGGCCTGTGTTCCACCACCACCACCATGAGCTGGAGGGGGAGGGGGTCCTCTTCCTCCTCCTCCTCCTCCTCCTCCTCCTCCTCCTCCTCCTCCTCCTCTTCGTCCTTCTCCTCCTCCTCCTCCTCCTCCTCCTCCTCCTCCTCCTCCTCTTCGTACTCCTCCTCCTCCTCCTCCTCCTCCTCCTCCTCCTCCTCCTCCTCCTCTTCCTTCCCCCTCCAACTCATGGTGGCGGCGTTGGAAAAACAGGCCCAATCACTCCGGGCGCTCTCCGGTCTGCAGGCCGCCTCCCCGCGGCACCGCCAGGCTCTCCGGAAGCGGGGTCGCCTTCTCGCCCTGGGGCGCGCGCCCGCGCGCCCTCGGCGGGGCGGCGGCAGCCCGGCGGAGGCCTGCGGGAGCGTCGTCGTCGTCGTCGTCGTCGTCGCCGTCGCCGTCGCCGTCGTCGTCGTCGTCGTCGTCGTCGTGTTCGTCGTCGCTGTCGTCGTGGTGCGCTTGCGGACGCCAGCGCTCTCCCTTGTCGGGGGGCTTCCCCGTGGCACATTCACCGCTCGCGCTGGCCTCTGGGAGTGCGCTGGGGACTGCCGCGCGGCGCATGCCAGGGCCCTAGCACCCAGTGCTGGGTCGAAATGGCCGTTTCCTTACGCAGCACGTTGCACGTCAGAGGGCACTCAGACCCCCTCGCGCCGTGAACAAAGATCGCAACGGATCTGCCATTTCTGCAGATGTTTGGGCTTTGCTGGGCCTCCTCGTCGCAGCAGCGCCTGGACGCGCCTCGAAATCCAGCCCAGAACGCACTCAGGAAAGGTCCAGGAGCAGACGTGTGAGGCCCAGCCCCCGTCGCGTCGGAACAGGAAGTAGCGACGGACGTTTTCGCTCAGATGCTCTCTTCACGAGCGAGCGGTGCATGTGGCACTGGGAAGTGTCCCTTTTACAGTGAGGGCATTGGAGAAGGAACAACGCTGGCCTCTGCGAGTGCACAACGACGACGCCGACGAAAACCACGACGACAACGAAAACCACGACGACGACGACGACGGAGACGACGGCGGCGGCGGCGGCGGCGGCGACGACGACGACGACGACGACGACGACGGAGACGACGGCGGCGGCGGCGGCGGCGGCGACGACGACGACGACAACGACGATGACGACGACGACGACGACGACGACGGCAACGGATCCGCAGTATTGTGAAGGCATTGGATAAGGAACCATTGCCTAAGGAATCCAGGGTCCGGAAGCTGGTGGACCTCCGATCGTGGAGTGGCCATGGATAACATCGCCACCCTCATTAGATCAGGAGTCCTCCAGGGTCTGAGGCATCCTGGGCACATGCCCCAACGACCGCCTCCATCGTCTTGAGCAACCTGGGCTGCCACTGCTTCTCAAATGGTCCTCTTCTGAACCCCGCTCCTCGCACACCTAGACGATGTGGCCCAGCTTCAGGCTGGGGACCTGGGCGTCGCGGCGCTGGTCGCGCTTCCCCTGTGGTCCTCTGCGCCCTGACTCGTTGACGACGGCGACGACGACGACGACGGCGACGGCGACGACGACCACGACAACGACGACGCCGACCTGCGGGGCTCGAGGGGCCCGTGCCCCCCCCGAGAGCGGCAGCGCCGCGGCGCCGCGGCGAGGCCGCCGCCTGCCGCGATGTGCCGCGGCCGGCGCCCTCCGCGCAACGAAGCGCCCCGCTGACCGGCCGAGGCCCCGCCGACCGCCCCGCCGAGGGGCCAACGGCAGCAGCGGCGACGACGGCGACGGCATCGACGACGACGGCATCGACGGCGACGGCATCGACGGCGACGGCGACGGCGACGGCGTCGACGACGACGACGACGACAGCGACCACGACGTCGACGATGACGGTGTCGACGACGACGGCGACGAGGACGACTGCGACGACGATGACGGCCACGATGACGAGGACGTCGACGACGTCGTCGTCGACGTCGGCGATGTCGACCGCGGCGTCGACGACGAGGCCGACACTGGGCTCCTGGCGCTGCAATTTTTCCACATCGGGCCGCGTCCTGCCAGCTCTGGGCCCCAGAGCCGTCGCAGGTCGAGCCAGCTCGAAAAATGCTACACGAAGAGACTCAAGTGTTCTAAGAATACTCCGTGCAGACCACTCAAGTGTTCTAAGAATACGAATGCTACACAAAGAGATCCCAGTGTTCTAGACACAGTCCGTGCAGACCACACGAGGTTCTTAGAACATGCTCTGGTGGGCCTAAGCCAGGACGCTTCGCCACCTGGGTCTGGGGGCTCAGGGCGTGACTTCTCTGCCCCGCGGGTCCTCGCTCCAGGCCGCCGCCGCGTGGGGCTCTCGCTCCGGGTTTCGCCGGGTCGGAGGTGGACGAAGCTGGGATGGCGACGGTGGGCGTCGGGACTGCCATCGGCAACACCCCAACATACTTATACTATATGTGCGTCGCTCCCCCAGGGGCGACGCGCGCACCGAGAAATCTTATAGTATATGCGTCGTGGCGGGCGCTTTCTGGCCACACCGCTCGGGACACGATATACTACAAGATGGGTATACTATATGTTCGGGTCGAACGCGCGCCTCCAAGGAGGACATATAGTATTAGTATGTCCATGTGCGTCCCATGCCAGGACGAACCCCCGAAAAATACGGGTCTGGGTTCATAACGCTCCGGGGCTGTTGACCGGCAAGGGGGGGGAACACCGAGCCATCCACAGGACAATCATCCAAGGGGGGTGTCATCTGCACAGAACGAGCGCAGGTTTATCCTTCCCAGAGAATGCACCCCGGTCGACGAGGACTTCGCGGCCACCCTCGGGACTGCGGAGGTCTGCCTCGGTTGTCGGCGGTTTTGCAGCCTCGGGGCGTTTTGCCAGCAGCTGCGCCCCACCGAGAGCGCTCTGGGGGTGCCCCGATCGCCCCGAGCGGCCGCCGGAGACCCGAGCCGTGGCTCAGAAGCCAGGCGACGGTCGGGCCGCCCGAGGGGAGCCGGAGAGCACCAGGGCCACCCACCCGCACGCGCCTCCTGTCCTGGTGGCAGGAGGTCAAGGCGGGCGGTTCTGACCATGCCTCCCTGCGTCGGATCTCGGGGGGCGCCCGAGGTTCGAGGGTGGAGGATCGAGGTTCGCTTTCTGGAGGGTTTTGTGAACGTCCTGGGGCCTCCTGGAGCGCCTTCGTGGCCACGGCTGCATCCGCCTCGAAGTTCTTGCAGAAGGTAGCCCAGGAGAGGTCCAGGAGCCGATGTTTGACCCCTGCTCGGATCCGGGATGGCATGATTTTTGTTTGATCGCAACGTGCTTCCGTCAGGTCGGCTTCCGTGGGCCGCTTCCCACATGATCCGTTACCGGAAATGTCGGGTAACACTCTGGACGAACCCGTCGCGACCGAAGGTCGGCCTCCAGTCGCGAATTCCAGTAACGAGCGAGCCGTCGACGTCTTCGAAACCCTCGCTGGGACCCCCACGCGCCGTCTCTTTGTTACCGAAATTCGATCCCCTGCGGCCGCGACCGAAATTTGGCGCGCCCGCAATCCGTTACCGACCAAGTCTGGTCACGGATGAAATGTCATTCAGCCTCCAGGGGCCCTCGCTGGGCTGCGGGACTGTGAAGCAGCGACTTGGGATGAAACGCTGGTCCTGGGGAAGTGGCCCAGATCTCTGGGGATCAACGTTGTAAACAGAAACGCGACGTCAGAGCACTGTGCACTGTGGTCGAAGCAGCCAGAACGGCATCGACACAAGCTTCAAGAGGTCCGCGTGGATTTCTTAGATCTGCACTGAGTTCTCTGGCGCGCTCCGCGCGCCAGGGAGGGAGGTCCAGCGCCGATGCACAAAATCTGCACGGACCTCCGAAAGTTTATGTGTATATAGTTCTCTGTTATTTGAACTGGGCACTCCAAACCAATGCGTGCCCCGCTACAGTTTCCTACTTCCGATGGGCCCGCAAAGCCTTGGGTCGCCTCACGAGGCTCAGAGTCGACGGTGGAGGATGTGCCCCAGATGTCGTGATCTCTCATGACGTGGACCCCCAGCGTTGTAGACCCACTCCCCAGCACGGGTTTTTCATCCTTGTCCCACAGCGGGCGAAACTAGTCCAAAAACGTCCGCCGCTTTCTTTCACCACCCGAGCGAGGTGATCTGGAAAGGAGGATGTGTCTCAAGATGTCTTCTAGCAGGATCTCTCCTCGTGCGTGCGTGCTGCAAGTGGGATGGGAGGGTCGCGCCGTGGATCGTTGGTGCGCCGGCGGTGCGGCACTGATCCAGAGCGTGTTTTCGTTGTTCCCCCACCCCGTCGTCGCCGACGGCTCGCCGGCGTATCGGCGGTGCGGTGCGATCCTCCGACGCCATCTACCCAGACCCCCTCGGGTCATGGCACCCTCGCAGGGCCCCGGAAGTGTCGAAGACTATGCGGAATGACAAGAAGGTCCTGGGGACGAGGTCGAGACGTTTGGGGGTCAACGTTATGAACAGATCATGACGTCGAGGGTCTGGGGACCCAATCTCCTCGGGCTCCATCTGGCAGACTTGGAAAGGGTGAGCCGATATCACCACCTTCTGGCCACTCCAAAGGACAGCTTCTGGTCGCTACTGTTGTTGCTTCCGATCTTCCTGTTTCAGAAAAGCTGTCGGCACGCATTTGGCACGTCGTGGCCTCCTTGTCTGGAGCTGCCTGTGGTCGAGACCATACGCGGCGGCGCATACGTACATTACCTATCGTGACCCGGTCGTTCAGGCCACGCCCTCCCGCTGTCTTCCCCTCGACCCGACCCCCATAACCCGCGTACGTATACTCAACAGTCCTGGGCGTTTACGAAGCAGCCCTGCCGTGCTCGATTCCTTCCCAGTGCGCGTTTAGTAAAAGGATTCGCTTGTCGGGCCGTTTATTCGTAGGGTGTTTTTTTTTTCTGACTTCGGATCCGCCGAACTTTGGGCGATTTCGCAAGTCGGGCGGAACTTCGGCCCTGCTTGTCAAGCTCCTTTGACGTCGATTTCTGCCCTACTCTGCCGTCGATGTTTCCGCCGTGCCTTTGCGGACATGGCCGCCCCACATTTCTGAGGCGGGGGCATCCGCCCGATCTTGTCGGCATCGTCTGGGGTGCATTCCTGACGCCGGCTTCTGAGTCGGAAGATCAACCAGAGCACGGCGGATCCGAAGCCAGGGTCGAGACGAGCCTTCCGTTCCGTCCCGTCCCGCGCCGATCCGATCTGGCCCCCCCCCGAGGGCCTCGCGGCGCGACAGAGCACGTGCGGCCGCCCCCCGAGATGCCCAGGCACCACCATGCGGCCCCGCTGCGCGGGCGGCGGCGCGGCCGAGACCCTGCTCGACGCGGCCCCCTCGGGGGGCCAACGGCGACGACGTCGTCGACGACGGCGACGACGACTGCTGCGGCTGTCGACCGCGGCGCCGGCGGCGAGGGCGAGGACCCAGGCCTCCGACGATTTGATGCTTCCAAGTGGCGTTTTGCGTCGACGTCTCGGCCCTCGGGGGCCGTCTGCAGGCCCCGAGGCCATTGAAGATGGATGCGGGACGGCAAACTTGAGGAGAGGAAGAAACACACCGACACAATGAAACGTCGGTGTGCATGAACAGATGGGAAAGTATGGCAAGCAGGGGCGAAGACGAACACCCAGAAAATATTAGAAGATTTAGGGAATCTTGGGGGTTGTGTGTATTTATTTGTGTGTCCCTGGGCCCCTTCAGAACTGCCCCCGTGGAAGCAGTCGGGATCCCTGGGGCCGCGGGTTGAAATAGCCTTGGGATTTGGTCGTTGCAAGCTTGTGGCGCCGGGCATTCTCGACAGGTTTTGTCGGGCAGGCCCTGTGGCCATCCCCGATCGATATGGCCTGAACAGGTCGGGGGCGGCCAAGAGGGGGGTGGTGACCAGGGGTGGGGGTGGATATCATGATGGGGGGCATGATATCTCCACAGATTCCAGGGCGCTTCTTATTTCAGCACGTCCCCAGCCCCCCCCTGGGGGCCGCGCACATGCCGCTGGTTTTGATTTGCGCCCCCCCCCCCTTTTGGACGCTCTCCTCTTGGCCGCCCCCGAAAATGCCGCAGCCGGGTCCAGGGTTCCAGTCGTGATTTCTCGCGATGTTACATTTTGTCGCGACGTCGGATCCCAAGGGGGAAGACGTCGGTGTCGTCGTCGTTGTCGACGGCGTGGGCAGCGACGATGCCGCCCCTGCTCGCCGCGGCCATCTGCGGGGGGGGTCAGCGGCGACGTCGACGACGAGGACGTCGACGTCGACGTCGTCGTCGCCGAAGATTTCGACGACGTCGGCCACGACGACAGGGCCCATTTCGCTTCGAGCGCGGGCAGAATGCGTTTCTTCGGGAGCCAACGACGACGACGACGACGTGTAGGAGTGGATGAGGTCGCCGACGTTGTCGATGATGTCGGCCACGACGGTGAGGACCACGACGCCGAAGAGGAGGATGGCGTCGACGACGAGGACTTCGTTGTCGATGTCGACGTTGTTGCCGACGCTGTCGACCACGGCGTCGTTGTGGTTTGATGGTCGACGTCGACGTCACCGACGACGTCGAAGCTCGACGACGAAAAATGAGATTTCGGGCGTTTGCGGCCCTCGGGAGGCGCAGAGACACTGCTCGACACGGCTTCTGGGGAAGTCCACGACGATGTGGACGACGACGTCGTCGAGCTCGACCACGACGTTGACGACGACGATGACGACGTCGTTGGCGAGGTAAGAGGAGCTGGGTTTGGCAAGCTATTGGCCCCCATGGGGGCCCCAGGTGGCATCCGGAGACGTCTGGGGATCTCTGTGCATCTCTTGGGAGTTTCGCGGACCTTGGAGTCGACGTCGACGTGGGTCGTGTCGGACGTCTTTGTACGTTTCTCCCCCGACGTTTCTTTCGGATGTTTTTGTGCGGGGGCTGTCTCTAAGACACGAGTCCGTCGAGAAGCGCCCGAGGATTTATATCCAGTCCCAGGGGAAGGGGTCGAACGATGCTTCGAGTGCGACCCGTCGGGGGTGCGCCTCTTCCCCTCCCTGCCCGCTACATTCCCTCTCATTTCCCCGCGTCGGCCCTCATCTTCCCTCCTCTGTCCTGTCCCTGGTCCCCCCCCGCCGCTCTTTCTGCACCTGCCCTGCCCTCCCCTCTGCCCCCAGGTTCTCTGCCCCGTTACCATTCCCCTCGCCGCTCTTCCGCACCATGTGGCAGCAGATGTCAGCCGCTAGGCAGTTCGGCCCCCAAACAGTGTGTTTACTCCCTACCTAGGCTCCGCCTAGAAGGGTTCTTACTCTGTTGGCTTAAAGGGGCCGGGCAGAGGAATGCGCCCCGGGCGGTTCCCCCGGTTGCGCTCCCTGGGTGCTCAGCAAAAGCAAAAGCAAAGGCAAAAGTGAAGGCAAAAACGAAGACAAAGCAAACGCATAGCATATCATAGCATAGCATAGCATAGCATAGCATAGCATAACGCAGCATAGCATAGCGCAGTATAGCATAGCATGGCATAGCATAGCCTAGCCTAGCCCAGCATAGCATTGCGCAGCATAGCATAGCATAGCATAGCATAGCAGAGCAGAGCAGAGCAGATCATAACATAGCATAGCATAGCATAGTGCAGCACAGTATCCACTATTGCTGCTGAGATATATATATATATATATATATATATATATATATATATGTATACATACATACATATATATATATATATATATGTATATCGCAGCAGCAACTGCTGCTGCTGCTATATAGACAACTACCGCTACTGCTACAACTACGATGTTGCTTTCCTAGAGGCTCCAACTCCTAGGTAGGGTCGCACTGGGATAATCTCAGCATTTGTTGTGCAACCTAGGTCGAGCAATTTACGTGGTGCAATTCACGTGGTCCAGTCGGTGCATTTTTTCTATGTGATGCAACCGACGTGGTGCAATCTATATGGTGCAGCCTAGTTGGTGAAAACTACATGGTGCAGTGCAGATCACCTAGCCGAACTTGAAGTTCTTAGATTTCGGCAGGCGTATGCGACGACGCGCGCGCGTGGACTTCGTTGCATTTTGTTGCAAGGGGGTTCTTGGAGATGTCGGGTTATGATCGACGAGTGCGCGCATAGTTTTATTCGATCCGGTAATGGGGGGGGGCGATGCTGGCTTGGCCGGGGTGGCATGGGTTATCCAAATGAACGGTAGGGCCAGGATCTGGTGCAAATCGTGTTGTCCCGAGACAGGCCGATCATTCTGGGGGGGGTGATTTTTCTACTCAGGTGCAATCGAGACGGTGCAACTCACCCTGCCGAGCTTGAAGTTGTCAAGCCCACTGCTCGCGCACTCATCCCACCCGCCCACCCGCAAATTGGTCTGCAAAACCATTGCGTCGGCGTTTGCGATGTTTGCTTAGCGCTGGCTGGCGCATCGCTGCGGCCGCGCCAGCTCGCGCAGGCTCGCGCGCAGATTGGCCAGCTAATCTTAAGTCAGTCGGGCGTGTCCCTCTACACGGGGATTATTTAAACACAGTTTAAAACATAGTTTAGGGACGATTGTTTGAATATGTCTTGACTATTTTTGAATGTTTGTGGGTAGTTCTAATTTTTCGTCCAAAATCTGCTTGTAGGGGGGCATACCCGACCTAAAGCTAATCTGGCGCGACCGCCGCGGCCGCGATTGCGCTGACCGCCGTGGACTTCCCGGCGCTGGAGCGTGGGCACTCCAGTGCAAGGTGGTGCTTCGGGCGGGCGCGGCATCATGGCGACGTCGACGACGACAGGCACGATGGTGATAGTAACGATGTTGGTGATGGTGGCGACAGCGACGACGGCAAGGCCAATGGCGGTGACGATGCCGATCATGCCGGGAACGATGATGGCGTCCACGTGGCGACGATGAAGGTTTTGGAAGGGTTTCGACATGCGCGCACATTGCCGATTCGCGCGAGAGGCCCGCATGGTAGAATTTGACCGGGATCGTGCCCCCCCCAAAACCGCCCCCCAGCACGCGCGCAACGGGGTTCGATGATTTCGACACGTGCGCGCGAGAGGCCCGCTTGGTCGCAGTTGGTGAACATGTTGAACAAACCAACGGTTCTCGCAATAATGCGCAAGAGCGCGCAGTTTTGGTTGACACTTCGTGCTGCAAAGGTATACGTTCCACATGTGTTCAGGAAACGCGATCTTGAAGTCCCGCGACATTGAGAGTCTTTGCAGGATTTCGGCACGCGCGTGCGACAACGCGCGTACATGGACTTTGTTGCATTTTGTTGCAAGGGGTTCTTGGACATGTATGACTTTGACTAACGAGTGCGCGCGCTCATTCGCATTTTGCCCGATGATGGGGGGGGCGATGCGGGCTTGGCTGGGATGGCGCGCATTCAATGCAAATCGCACTGCCCCAGGAAGGGCCGATAACTCTGGGGGGGTAGTGTTGAAGAAAAGGGGAACCAACGCGGAGCAACCTAGTTGCGCAGTTCGCCCTGCCGGGCTTGATGTTACCAACGCCACTACTCACGCAACCGCCCCACCCGCCTGCCCGAAACTTCGTTTGCAATGGCCGTGCAGCGGCGATTGCGATGACTACATGGCGCTGGCTGGCGCATTGTTGCGGCCGCGCAAGCGCGCATGCTCGCGCGCAGATTGGCCAGCTAATATGGCGCGACCGCCGCGGCCGCGAATGCGCTGAGCGCTTCTCGCTGGCCGCGCTGAGGGCGCTCCAGCGCAAGTCGGCGCCTCGGACGGGCGCGGCATCGTGGCGACGCCGACGACGAGAGACACGACGATTGCCGCAGCGGCGCTGGCGGCGGCGAGGGCAATGACGACGGCGAGGCCAATGGCGGCGCCGGTGCTGATCGCGCCGTTCACGACGATGGCGCCCACGTGTCTGCGATGAAGGTTACGGAAAGATTTTGACATGCGCGCGTGGCCGACGCGCGCGAGTGGCCCGCATGATAGTCTTCGACAGGTATCGCGCTCCCCCTTCCTAGCTCGGGCGCCAAGGCGTTCGAATGATTTCGACATTCGCGCGCGAGATGCCCGCTTGGTCGCGCGCGTTGCACGCGTCGAGAAACAGAAAAAACTAGAAAGTATCCCAGTGCGACCCTACCTAGGAGTTGGAGCCTCTAGGAAAGCAACATTAGTAGGAGCGGTAAACGCCGTCCTCCTCCTTCTCCTCATCGTCGTAGTTGTAGCAGTAGCGGTAGTAATAGCAGTATTAGTAGTAGTAGTAGTAGTAGTAGTAGTAGTAGTAGTAGTAGTAGTAGTAGTAGTAGTAGTAGTAGTAGTAGTAGTAGTAGCAGTAGCAGTAGCAGTAGTAGTAGTAGTAGTAGTAGTAGTAGTAGTAGTAGTAGTAGTAGTAGTAGTAGTAGTAGTAGTAGTAGTAGTAGTAGTAGTAGTAGTAGTAGTAGTAGTAGTAGTAGTAGTAGTAGTGGTAGTGGTAGTGGTAGTGGTAGTAGTAGTAGTCGTAGTAGTAGTAGTAGTAGTAGTATAGTAGTAGTAGTAGTAGTAGTAGTAGTAGTAGTAGTAGTAGTAGTAGTAGTAGTAGTAGTAGTAGTAGTAGTAGTAGTAGTAGTGGTAGTGGCTGTGGTAGTGGTAGTAGTTGTCGTAGTCGTAGTCGTAGTCGTAGTAGTAGTAGTAGTAGTAGTAGTAGTAGTAGTAGTAGTAGTAGTAGTAGTAGTAGTAGTAGTAGTAGTAGTAGTAGTAGTAGTAGTATAAGTAGTGATAGTAGTAGTAGTAGTAGTAGTAGTAGTAGTAGTAGTAGTAGTAGTAGTAGTAGTAGTAGCAGTAGCAGTAGTAGTAGTAGTAGTAGTAGTAGTAGTAGTAGTAGTAGTAGTAGGAGTAGTGGCAACAGAACCGCCGACGCCACGCCGTCAGTGAAGCAGCAGCAATAGTGGATGCTGTGCTGCGCCATGCTATGCTATGCTCTGCTGTGCTATGCTGCGCAATGCTATGTGGGCTAGGCTATGCTATGTGATGCTATGCTATGCTATGCTGCGCTATGCTATGCTGCGCTATGCTGTGCTATGCTATGCAATGCTATGATTTTGCTTTGTCTTCGCTTTTGCCTTCACTTTTGCCTTTGCTTTTGCTTTTGCTTGGCACCCAGGGAGCGCAACTGGGGGAACCGCGCGTTTGCTTTTACCTTTGCTGTTGCTTTTGCTTGGCTCCCAGGGAACTGGGGGAACCGCCCGGGGCGATTTCCACTGCCCGGCCCCTTTAAGCCAAGAGAGCACGAACCCTTCTAGGCAGAGCCTAGGTAGGGAACAACGACGGTTACCTCCAGAATTCGCAAGAGCGCGCGCGAACGTCTTGAAAGCAACACGTTGCAACGCCATTGTATTGTACATGTGTTCGGGGTGCTCGACCATGGAATCTGCGCGAAACTTCAGGTTCGTTTGCCGAATTTCGGCATGCGCCTGCAACGACGCGCGCGGAACGCGAGCGGGCTTTTTCGCATCTCTTGCGTGGGAGTTTGATAGCTCATGGGTTCGATGGACGAGCGCGCGCGCATGCTGTTCCTGTTCGACTGGGATGGGGATGTGGGAAGGGGGGCGCCGATCTGGCCGGCATGGTGCGAATTCGTACTCAAGGCGAACAACGGGGCATAATCGCACGTAAACCGCACTATCCCAGGGAGGGCCGATGATTTCTGGGCGGGGCGGAGGGGGGATCCGGATTCCGCGCGCGAATGGAGATCCTATGTTGCGCGATATTCGCGGAGCAATCTGCGCGGCGCAATTCGCCCTGCAGATTTCGAAATTGCCAATTCCACTGCTCGCGCAATCGTCCCACCCGCCCGCCCGCAACTTGGTTCGCAAAACCCTTGCGGCCGCGAATGCGATGACTGCTCGGCGCTGGCTGGTGCATCGCTGCGGCCGCGTTTGCGCGCGCAGGCTCGCGCGCAGAGCGGCCGGCCAATCTGGCGCGATCGACGCGGAAGCGGGGGCGTTGACCGCCGGGGGCTCCCCAGCGCGTCTCGCAGACCGCGCCGACGCGCGGGCCTTCCAGCGCGAGTCGGCGACTTCGGGCGGTCACGGCGTCGCGGCGACGTCGACGGCGGCAGACGCGACGGCGACAGAAGCAATGCTGGCGACGACGATGTCAATGACGACGGCGCGGCCAATGGCGGCGCCGACGCTGCCCGCGCCGACGACGGCGGTGGCGCTCGCGCGTCGGCGACGGAGTTTCCGGAGGACTTCGCCCGCGCGCGGCCGACGGGCGCAACTGGCACGCGGAATGTAATTTGTCAGTGGTCGCGCTCCCTCCCGCCCCGCCGCGCGCGCGAGGGCGTTCGAACGACGTCGACGCGCGCGCGCGCGAGAGGCCATGTTGGACGCGCGTGGCGAACGCGATGAACAACACCAGCGGTTGCCGCGAGAATGCGCGCGAGCCCGCGCGCGCCTGTTTTTTGTTTGTTGGAGCCCATCGTGCACGGCCATTCGTTTTGCGTGCGTTCGGGGAGCTCGATCTTGACATATCTAAGAACCCCTAGCTTTTCGAAGGGTTCTGGCATGCGCGCGACGACGCGCGCGCGCGTTATTCGCCCCATCTTCTGCCAGGGGCGCACTGCACAGTGATGGCTCTTGATGAGCGATTGCGCGCGCGTAGCATTACTTGGCGAAATTGATGGAGGGGGAAACCTGGCTAGCTGGGATTGCATGCTATTACATTCAGACTGAGCGATGAACGGAGCAGGGTCGCAAGTAGCATCGAGTATCCTGGGGGGGTGACCGCGGCGCAATCGATGCCGCGCGCAGTGAGTTGGCAACCCCACTCATCCCGCAAGCACCCCGCCCGTCCACCCGCAACTTGGTCTGGAGAGAAAGTGCGGCGTCGATTGCGATGACTGCTTAGCGCTGTTTCACGCGCCGCCGCGGCAACGCCAGCGCGCGCGGGTTTGCGCGCGGAAGGGCCAGTTCGTTTGGCGCGACCGACGCGGCCGCGGTGGCGCTGACCGCCGGGCCCCCCCCAGCGCGCCCCGCATGCCCTGTCCAAGAAACGCCCGGACTGTTGCATGGGGTTCTTGGACGTGTAGGATTCTGGTTAACGAGTGCGCGCGCGTAGTTTTATTTAACCCGATGACGGGGGGGCGATGCCGCTGTGGCTGGGGTGGCCCAGGAAGGGCCGATAACTCTGGAAGGGTGGTGGTGGTGGTGGTGCTAGATTCGAATGTTTAAGACAAGGGGGATCGACGTGGCGCAACCGAGGTGGCTCAACTTAGCCTGCCGATCTTGAGCATGTCAACTCCGCTGCTTGCGCAATCATTCCGCCCGCTCACCCTCAACTTTGTTTGCAATGCCCATCCGGCGGCGATTGCGATGACTGCTTGGCGCTGGCTGGCGCGTCGCTGCGGCCGCGCCAGCGCCCGCAGGCTCGCGCGCAGAGCGGCCAGCTGATCTGGCGCGACCGACGCGGCCGCGGTGGCGCTGACCGCTGGGGATTTCCCAGCGTGCCCCGCAGGCCGCGCTGACGCGCGGGCACTTCAGTGCGACTTGGTAGTTCGGGCGGGCGCGGTATCATTGCGACGTCGGCAGCGGTAGACACAATGATAATAGCAGCGATGGTGGTGACGATGATGACAATGGCGACGGCAAGGACAATGAAGGCACCGATATTGATCATGCCGATGACGATCATGGTATCCACGTGTCGGTCACGGCCACGTGGCCCGATCAAGGGTCTGGAAAGATCTCGACATGCGCGCGCGTCCGGCGCACGCGAGTGGCCCGCATGGTTTGAACTGACATGCATCGCGCACCCCCCTTCCTCCAGCACGCGCGCGAAAGGCGTTTGAAGTCCCTTTGGTCACACACGACGATCGCTTTTGAAACAAACCTCCGATGTCCTGAAGAATTCGCGAGCGCGCGCAGACTCTTGTTGTGAAAAGACATGCTGCCAAGGCGTGTGTGTTTTACGTGGTCGGGGCACTCGGCCTTGAAATCGCCTCGCAAATCCGGGTTTTTTGAAGGATTCCCAACCATCCGCGCGCGACGACCCGCCCGAGGAGACTTGGGCACCCTCGGCCCGATCGAGCGCCCGCCCCCCCCCCCCCTTGCAGAGGCACGCCAGGCCCCGGCGCCGTCGGCGCTGTCGCTCAGCACCTGGGGCACCCTGGGCGCGCGGGACGCGGCGAGCGCCTGCAGCACCAGCGAGACGCTGGGCGGCGCGCCCGCGGCGAAGCTCCAGGCGAGCGTCGGCGTGTGTGGTGGGGCTGGCTCTTCCACCACCGCCTAGCAGGAGAGGGAGGAGGAGGAGGAGGAGGAGGAGGAGGAGGAGGAGGAGGAGGAGGAGGAGGAGGAGGAAGAGGGGAAGGACGAGGACGAGGATGAGGAGGGGGAGGAGGGTGGGAAGGACGAGGACGAGGAGGAGGAGGAGGAGGATAGGAAGGAAGAAGAAGGAAAAGAGGAGGAGGAGGAGGAGGAGGAGGAGGACCTCCCCATCCGCCCTTATTACCCAATCTGCCTATGGTGGTGGTTTTGTGAAATCGGCCCAGCAGTGTTCGTCGTTGTCGTCGCCGTCGTCACCGTCGTGCTCG